TTTTTTTTTTTTGGAAAGATACAACGTCTACGCTCAGGCCGCGGAATTATTCACATGCTCTCATACGATTCTCAACGATGCAAACCTAGCACCTGCGGAGATTGATCGTGTTTTGAGCGATTGTGTTCTTCAGGTATATACTATTATCTTTCAACTCCCATCCAAATTATACTTCACACTACTAATATAACAATTTTCAAAACAAATTTCCACTAACACAAATTTCTTTTTCAAACTCTTCATAAGTAGTCCCGTCCGGTATACATCGCCCTCCCAACCGATATCGCTTACATCAAGATATCTTCCACCCGGCTTACTATTCCCCTCCCCAGACTTCCTGTACCCAACGACCCGCTCGCTGAATCCGCCGCCATCGCGGAGATTGTCAGATTAATCGACGAAGCATCGGGCGATGTAGCTGTATTAGTCGACGTAGGTGCTCTTCGGTATGGTGTCGCAGAGGAAGTGAGAAGGTTCGTGGAGGAAACTGGGTTCGCGGTGTATGCTAGCCCGATGGGTAAGACGGTGATTAGTGAAGGGTATGAGCGGTACGGTGGTGTGAGTCGGATTTACTACTTTTTTTGCTGGTAAATCGCTTGGTACATTCGGATGACCTATCCTCTCAGCTTTACACGGGAGCCACTACGCGTCCGGAAATCAAGTCCCAAATCGAGGAGGGAGCGAAATTGGTGATTTCAATCGGGGCGTTGAAGAGTGATCTAAATACTGGGAATTTTACGCATAAATTAGATGTCGCTCGTACTGTTGAGGTGAGGTTCCCTAACCCAAAAACTTGGGAAAAATCCTTTTTTTTGTTTGTCTCGTTTATGGTTCTTTTCATCAACTACCCCAGTTGCACCATACCACTACAAAGATCAAATTTTCGGAATACGGTGGAGTCGGAATGAAATACCTCTTACCCAAACTCACTTCTGCTCTCGCTTCTTCTTCTTCTTCCTCCATCAAGTCGAAAGCTCTCGCCACCCCAGTCACCAAATGGGTATACCCCCTTCCTCAAGAACCCGATGAGCCCATCGTTATCTCCCAAGCCTGGCTCTGGGCACGTGTCACACAATTCCTCCGACCCCAAGACGTGGTCATCGCAGAGACCGGGACTTCCGCGTTTGGTGTATTAGATATCCCTTTTCCCAACAACGCGGTCTTCGTCAGCCAGATTCTTTGGGGGAGTATCGGTTGGACTGTGGGAAGCACACTCGGCGCTGCGATGGCGGCGAGGGAGAGGAACCTTGGGAGGACGATTTTGTTCATTGGGGATGGTAGTATGTGAGTCGAATTTTGCAAATGGTTGGTTGACCAAGAAGTTTATGAATGTTAATCGGATATCGGATATATATAGTCAGTTGACAGTACAGGAGCTGTCTACGATGCTCAGAGAAGGACTCAAGCCGATTATATTCCTATTGAATAACAGCGGATACACAATCGAGCGTGCTATCCGCGGGGAAAACAGGTCAGTGTATATCATATTTACCATATTGACCAATTGATATCAAAATATTGATTGCAGGAAATACAACGATATCGTCAACTGGGGCTGGCCTCATCTCATGAAAGCGCTCGGAGACGTTGATGGCACGAGAACTAAATCCTACGTGACCAACACGAAAGCGGAATTTGACGCTCTCTTGAACGATGCGGAGTTCTCTGGAGCAGGTGTGATGCAATTTGTGGAGATTGGGATGAGGATGCTGGATGCTCCGGCCTCGTTAAAAGCTGGGACACCGGTGGGTAGGAAATGGTGAGGGGGGGGGGGGGGGGGGGGGGGGCACCAGTTGTAATTAACTGTACTACGTTTCTTAACAGTTTTTTTTGGTGTGAACGTTGCGAGTTACGTCGGGTTACACACATTTTAATTTCAGATTTACAATATGCATTTGCATGTGAGCCTCCGTCGTCCGGCTCACATGGGACGCGCGCTTGCTAGCTCGGTGACCAAAGAGCTTCTCCCCAAACCTCACAAGCCTCCATCTCCAGCTAGTTGATTGGTCGATATTCTTAGCCTGTGCGAATGCCTTGGTGCGCTTCGCCCTCTGCTTCCTCGCCCTTCTCCTCCAGCAATCATCGTCATCAGTCAGGGTGGGGAATAGAACAAACCTCCCCCCCCAAAAAAAAATGATGGAATGATGTAAAACTATGGCATGGGTCCTTGAGTAAGGTATTAAAATCATGTATACCGACTGACAAGCTGTGCCTTCAGGAATAAAGGGCTGGTCGGTATCTTAGTGTAAGACCTAGCTCAGAATTGGTCTTGTAGGTGTAGTTGATATTGGTAGTTTACATTGTAGCATACTAGAAGCCAACTGGAGCTCAAAGGAGGCTACAGAAACTACGACTGAGGACAGGAATGACCTAGTAGTAGTACAGGAATGTAAGGTGTGACCCTTGAAGAGGTTCCTGGGAGGTCCAGGGAGGTCCCTAGGGCAATAACCAATGGGAGTTAATGAACTCGGGAACGGAGAAACATAGATATAAAGAGTTCCATGTTATGAGTTGTGCGAGCTATGAATGTCAATGTAGGACTATAAAAGCTAGTGAGAGAACTTGGATTGCTTAAACTAGTGATGTGCCGGCTCCGGCTCTGAGCCCTTGGGCCCTATGAGCCTGACCGGATTGAGCCTGGCCGGGCCGGAGCCGGCTCTAGGGCTGTGGAAAGCTGAGGGCCCGGCTCAGAATTTTCGAAGGCCCCAAGCCGGGGTCCGAGCCGGGGCTGAGCACCTGAATTTTGTGCCAAACATTTCACCTGGGAATTGGCAATGGATGATGTGGCTATAGATAAATGCTTAATATTTACCTATATGAGCATCACTAGTGCCATTCTCAACTGCAGGAATAACTATTGATGAGCACCTAAAGGGTAATATTGTTGAAGCATCACAATCTCAAGACTTTATTCATTGCGAATAGGTTGGAGCTGCAATCAGATCAGCATATTGAGGGACTGACAACAAAAATTGATTGAGGGACATTAGTGATAGAAAACTTACAGTGAAATTTCTTGATGATGGTAATGAGGATTAGGAAGATGTTACATTGACATGACATGGCAGCACCTTTCAATTTGAATGTCAGTCTACAAGCCTGGAGAAAAGAACCAATTTGGTCCCATTTGAACTTGACAGTAGGTTGCAATCACAAGTAATGATTTTGGTGCTTGTTATTTTGATAAGTCTAATGTACTGGTATTCTATTGTTTAATTGATGTGCACCATTATTCTTAATGTTACACCCCTCACAAAGCTGGAGCAGCAAAAAACAACATACCATGGTAATGATTGTGACAGTATCTGTAGACTAACATATTACATAGGGTATTATATCATTGAATAGTGAATACTTGATCAGATCAAGAAATTTCGAACCTCACAGTTTCTACCTACCACAGCCGGGGCCCAAGCTTGAGCCGGAACCCAGCCGGGCCCTGGCTTTCATGTAGGGCCCGGCTCAGGATTTTCATGAGCTTTGGCCGGGGCTATATGAGCCTTAGCCGGGGCTTTTGAGCCGGGCCCCAGCCGGCACATCACTAGCTTAAACGTGAAGTGAAAGTGTATATTGCATCATGTAGACAGTCGTAGAACCAGGAAACAGATATAGAGTAACTACGAGCAAAGAAACAGAGAATAAAAGAAAAATCCATATAGGTATCAGGTCCAAAGTAACAGAAACTCAACCTATGTCAAAGGGGTGTAAGATCAAAATATACCTTTAGTATCTTTAGACATGGTGGAAGGGGGATGAAATACCTTTTACTCACTGAAGCCAATCACTATACCGGCCATTGATATTCAATAAAATATCGATCGCGGGAAATGCACCAATATCCGTGGTCAGCCGTGGTCGCGTTGATCACCGGGTCGTGTGAACGACGCGTTCTGAGTTACGTCGGGTCACACCGTGACGTTTCCATAATGACATCATCCTCACCACCAACTCCAACTCCAACTCCAACCTGCATCCCCCCGCTCATCGTCGTCGTCATCAGTCAAAGACAGGAATAGACCAAGACCCAAAGAATGACGCGATGACGTAGACTATGGGTATATAGAGACGGACTGTATCTACTATTATCCAATCAACGTCAACGATGAGTTCAACAAACAGCGTACCCCCCACCGCGTCAGGTGATGCTAACCCCTCCTCCTCCCCTGAGAGCTATCCCGAACAACACCACGCCGGCGCAGTCGGCTACGGGCCGAATTATCGTCAAGGAGCTTCCTTGGGCGATAAACTGACGGGTCTCAAAGAAGAATTGAAAGGCAAAGTGACGAAAAACCCGGGGCTGGTGGAGCATGGGAAGGAGATGAAGAGCGGGGAGTTGAAGAAGAAGGAAGAAGAAGAGGATGTGAGTTTTTAATTCGTGTTTCTGCTGTTACCTGGTTATAATTCGGTTTGGTTTAGATGAATAACCTTGATCCGTTTGGAACTGCTGATGACGATGATGAGAAGAAGAAGGAAGTCGATTCCACCGGGTCTATTGCCAAACGCGACGCGCAGGGACAACAAGTCAATTCCGATGGCGCAGGCGTTACTACGACCGAAACCGAAAGTGGTGTGGCGAAACCCCGCGATGTTAAATACATCGACGAGGATCGAAGTGGCGAGCACCACCACCACCACCACCACCACCACCACAACAACAACCACAACAACAGCAGCACCCACCACGATGGTAGTAGTAATGCCAATGCGGTAGCCAGTGAACCAGGTCAGATCGCTAGAGATGCTGTCCGTGTCTAAGTCGCGGACGCGTATGATCCTTGTGTACCATTCATCCTTGCATTGTATTTGCTCTCCCGCCCACTCCCAGCTGTACGGGCTGATATTGGGAGGTTAGTAAACGGATTCTAGAACGTAATTCTACTACTATGTACAGTATACCTACTCTTCCAACAACACAATCCAACCAATCCATTCCAATCCATTCCATTCCCAATCACCTTTATTATGTCCACAACACCCCCCCTCCTTCCTCCATCTCACACGGCCGACTAGCTCAGCTGGTTAGAGCGTCGTGCTAATATAGGCATCTTGACCCTTGTCCAAAATGGCCCGGGTGGTGTAATCTATGTTTACGCGAAGGTCTTGGGTTCGATCCCCACGTTGGCCATTTAGTATGTCCGACTTTCTAAAAATTTTTTTTTTTTGGCTGGTTTTTTGCGCTTTCGTTGTTTTTTTTGGTTGCTGTTTCTGTTTCTGTTTCTGCTGGTTTGTTGTTTGTTTGTTTTGTTGTTGTTGTTTTTTGGTGTTTCCCTCTTTCTTACATTCTTACACTCTTACACTCACTCTTACACTCTTACACTCACTCATTACCTAATCCCATCATCACATCCCCATCCCATTCCCTTACATACTCCCTTCCAAACATAACATACTTCATTCAGGCTGTACATACAAGTGACGTGCAAATCAAATCAAATCCACACACCCCCCGATTTGGAAATGAAATTTTGTGATGAATGTGAATGTTTTTGTGAACATTTTTTTTGTATGCTACATACACCCTGTAAAGCATGGTTGATTCTACTATAAAGACTTACTTGTGGCAATATAAGCCTGTTTAAACCCCTCAAAATTTTGATTTTGATAATTCTGAGCAGTGGAACAACAGATTTCTGATTTACGGTTCTGGGGCTGGTGACCATAAGTGTCAAGTCCATGCCTCGGGCCTCCACTTCGCCGCTCGGTATCCCGAAGATCTACCTTTTATTGTAATCTCCTCTTTATTGTTCTTTCTCGCTACACATACCCTTTCATTCTAGTCCCTCTTTATTGTCTTTTACTTTACCCTGCAGGACTACACGTATAACTCCTAGTAGTTAGTCTGGCGCTCCGCGCCGCTGCGCCGCTCCGTAGATATAAATACTGCTTGTACGCTACTGTAGTTCCTCAGTTTAATTATCGACTTAGATTGACTTAGATTCCCTCCTTCACTCTGTGCTCTCTAAAGTCTTCAGGCTCAATGCCTAGAAGTACTCTCTCTACAGCCTTTGGACTTATAAGTTCTTTGGCTCGCTCCTCGTCATCGGCGACACCGCCGCTCCGACTTGGCTGCTACTCAGCTCCTCCCTCTTATACTCTTGACCTCCGGGGACTAATGGCGTAACGGCGGTGTTGTTAATAACTTCACTACTGTCCCACTCGTCTTCCGCACTTAGATACTCTGTGACCTCTGGCACGGTTACACGGGTTGCATGATCATAACAGTATAATTAAACTCAATCCATTAACGTCGTACTGACATATCATTTTTTATGCCTCTGAAAACCCGAGCTCAATCAAGAGCTACTTCCGAAGAAAACACTTTCTTCACCACAGCCCAATCTTTCGCCCCTTTCTCCGAATCCATCTCTGCCATCGGTCAACCACGTCGCCATAATTGCGGGTTCGGTCCAGCCACAGTCCCTACTACATCAACTCTTCCTGAAGCCATGGAAGAAGAAGAACAATTCGAGTACAGTACCTTGTTTACTAGTGACGGACAACCTGTCCAAGGTCTGACCCCTCGCCGTGGACAACCCCCCGTGGTCGCTCCGGCTCGGGGCCGTTCTACTACTCGAATTGATTCTCCAATTCTCCAAGCCATAGCTCGCCGTACGGGTAAACAACCTCAACGTCGAGCTGTCTCAGAATGTCCTCGTGACCCGCCTCCTCACTTCAATTTGGACACTGGCAATCACGATGATCAAGACCCTCCTGTCGACCCCAATGACCCGGGTGCCAATAATAATCACAAAAATCTGGACGACGACTCCGGGTTTACCGTGTGGTGAGCCTGGTGGACCTCATTCCCCAAACTCTCCTAACATCCCCAACAAGCAATGTGCTATGTTGGAACTTCTCTCGGGATTCAAGGGTTCCATTGAAACCCTCGGTACCATTCTCGCTGCACTCGGCCGTCCCTCTGACAGCTCTGAATCAAAGAGCAAGGTCAAGGAGCCCGAGGTATTCGACGGTTCGGACCCCCGAAAACTCAAGACATTCTTCGTCAATCTCGCCCTGGTCTTCAATGACCGTCCAAAGTACTTCACCGACCAACGGAAGGTGAACTATACTCTTTCTTATCTCAGTGGATCAGCCAAAAAATGGTTTGTCCCTGATATCCTCAACCCGGATCTTGACTCGCTGCCGGCCTTCAGCCGAAAAAGGCGGCAAACTTGTCGCGTTGCGCAATCGCAAAACCGAACTTCCACTCAATCGGTAATCAAAATTATTTCGAGTTCGCAATTTCTAAGCACCGTCTGAGCCCAGAGCATTCCACGGTGATTTCACCAACTCACCTTCCCTCACCAGGTCCCAGACTCCAAACCCCTAAGGAGTGAGAACCAAACTCAATCGAGATTTCGGTCTCCGACAAGCCACTTGGAAACGCAGTGACTAAACTTGAAGTTTGACTTCACATCTGTTTTCTTTTCGCCGGGGGATCTTGAACGGAGAAACGATATTGAATATAACGACGGCTTCGAGACGCAATGCCGATAGTAAAAGTAAGATTTCAACATGTAGTGGTGCATGCATTCCGAATCAGTCAATAACGATGGTCCAAATTTTTCAAATTCCAGGATGAAGAGCTTGATGATATGGCAATACCCCAAATCAGTTTAGATGTGGAAGTAAGTAACTTTTTTTTCATTTCGGGGTCATGCTCTCACTCCGTTTGGACAGCTCGAACCATCCTCCAACGTTCCCTTGCTCTTAGCCAAACAGTAAGCACAACTCCTCATTCGCTTCTTGTCTCTTCCTGTCCAACCTTTACTTATCCTTCAAGTAACGCTGAGTGGGATATCGAAGACAGAAAGCCTTCGAAAAAGAGGAAAGTGTTCGATGGCGTGCTAATCCCAGCATTCAATGGGGAACTGCAACTATCGCCGAAGTTGGAAGAACAGTATGTGCACCGCAAACTTTACCTGCTAGATTTATATGTAGTGTTTAGATCTCTACGCGTTGTCCCCTCCCAGATTCGGAATCATGCAACATCCAACTCAGGGCCTGGAGATACCGACTCAGAAACTGATGAAAAGCCTGATTTGACTAGTTTACACACTGAGGTATGTTCTAGCTTTCTTGAGGGCTCTCTATTTAAAGTCACCTCAATACAGGAGTATGAAATCAAGCCAAAAATCAAAGCCGAAATGAACATTGATTCCAACACCTTCCGAGAGCGTATTGCCAGAGTCAGTGCTCCTCGATATCCCGTAACCCTCGAACCGGAAAGTGCTCGATGGCAAACCGTGTCTCGAAAATTCATCAGCAGAACTTACGGAGGCTCCGAGGTCTCAACGTTTCCCATGATTGACCCCAAGAAGGTTGCGAAACACGGAAGAGAGTTTTGGATGTTTTGGAGTTTGGAGAAGCATCCAGATGCTCCGAAACGTCCAGGGGAGCCTGGAATCTGGTACGACTCCAGTCCTATGGAATATACGGAAGATTTTGATATTGTTCGACACGGATTCGCGAGGATGAAGTCGGACAAGTGGTTATATTTAGGTGATTATAAACAATGTGCCACAGAAGCATTGACTCAACGTGAATGGTTGCTTCAATCAGACAAAGTTCGTCCCCCGTGTTTTCGAACAAAATGTGCAAGTTGAATTTCGAATTTCTCCAGTTCCATCGTATCTGGACTTCCCTTGTTCAGAAAAAACCTTGGGCACGGCATGCTCGTGCAGGCATTCACCTCAGAAAAAAGTGGAGTCGTGAGCCTACAATGCAGGAGATCAAGGACGCTGCAATGACAGAGGACTTCAAGAATGTGACAGTTGAGGAGATAAAAGATGCATTTGACCAAGGGCAGCAGGTAAGTTGTTGCTTCATACATCATGAAACTCTATCACTTAGAGGGATATATCTTGAATAAGCGACTAGGGATGCTCGTTCTCAAATGTGTTGGCTACGATAATGATTTTCAGAAGGAACTGATTGACAAATTCTCATCTTGGATTCCTCCAGCCAAGAAAACGGACTCAAAAGGTTCAAAAGCCACAAGCAATGTGCAAACAAAACAACAAGCGCCGAAAAGAAAACCAAGAGCAAAACGCGGCAAGAAGAAACAGATCGAGTCGGAGGATGATTCTGAAGAAAGTGGTAGTTTCAAGGAGGAGGAATTGACGGATGCCGATGGAGAGTGAAGCGATGATCATGATTACTGTGAATACATTGATATCTCATGCGAGTATGTGGAATTACAACAGGACAAATACTATATATGTCAATATTGCCCTTTCTAAGAATGTTTTCGTAGCGAAGTCGTGACTCGATTTGCACCGTGACCGTGTCAATCAATCACATAACTTCGATTCAAAATATTGACAACTTCAACTTGAAGCATTCTGCACCCTTGGATCCTTCTCAGTCGAATCTGCACATTTCAGTACATATGCAAATTCACCGGTAACTATTGCAATGTTGGAAGCTCAAAATGAGGGATTGGAAGGTGAGCGAGTGTTCCAAATACCGGTGTTCAAACCCACGGAAACGCACCTCTTTGGTCAGAGCTCAGTACAAGTCAAACGATAGGCGAACGTATATCTTCCATCAAGGTTTGTCTTCCACGCAATTCTGGAATCTCTTTGTAATGATGTTCATTCAATGTAGAACGAATTGGACGAAGATACTACGGCACTTGACGTTGACTTCGAAGCTAAGGTGCCCACCATTTACCCCTTGTATTCTTGATTATGATATTGAGAGGTCGTGCTTGTAGCCTGCATCATTGATACCAAAAAAATCCAAGAAACGGTAAAGCCTGTTCGAAGTCCATAGTGTCCGAAACTTGTGCCTAAAAGTTTTCCACTCAGCATGGTTGAGTTCGAAACTGACAATGGAATAGCTAACAACAAAGTGAAGATGGAATTTGATGGAGTTCTCCTTCCTCTCCCTTACCGAAAGCGAATCAAACTGGAGTCCGAGAGTGCGCTGTGTGTCCATCGAGTTAATGTCCCCTGTATTAAAGAAGTCCTAACTGCATACAGTCTTCATGCCTCCAACGCTCCCAAGACTCATGCTAGGGTCTTGCAGTCAAATTCTTCGGATCCTGGGGATACTGAGTCCGAGTCTGAAGAGAGCAAAGAGACGGTTGAGATAAAGGCTGAACAAAATGACGACGACGTG